CCGGCGATCCTTCTGCCTCAGCCTTCCAAGTAGCTGGAACTACAGGCGCACGCTACCACCTCCGGCTAATTTTTTGATTTATTGTAGAGATGAGGTCTTGCCAAGTCGCTCAGGCGGGTCTCGAACCCACGGGCTCAGACAATCCACTCACCTCAGCCTCCCAAAGCTCTGGGATTACAGGGTGAGCCACCAAGCCTGGCTGGTACATTTTCAAAACAGGCAGCCTACCCAGACTAATCTGGATGACCAAGCAACTCAATTATAGTGATAACAGTTCTGAAGGAGATACAAAAACAGTATATGTAGCTAGCTATACTGATTTCTGAAGATCCACTGGATTGAAGAGAATTCATGGACACAGCCTTAATATAAGACTATATGTGTGGAAGGCTGAGGCGGAAGGTTTGCTGGAGCCCAGCAGGTTGAGGCTGCGGTGGCCGGGAGCGGCCACTGCACTCCAGTCTGGGTGACAGAGTGAGACTCCAACTCAAAAAAACAGACTATATGTGGCCAGGCTTGGTGGCTCAGCCTGTAATCCCAGCACTTTGGGAGGCCAAGGCTAGTGGATTACCTGAGCCCACGGGTTCGAGACCAGCCTGTGCAACTTGGTGAGACCTCATCTCTACAATAAAATAAAAAATAGCCAGACGTGGTAGCGCACTTCTATAGTTCCAGCTACTCAGAAGGCTGAGGCAGAAGGATCACGGAGCACAGCAGCTCAGTGCTGGGATGGCTGTGAGCGTGCTTGCCACTGCTCTCCAGCCTGGGCAAAGGAATGAGACCCCAATTCAAAAAAAAAAGAAAAAAGACCATATGTGATAGACTGGACACAGTGGCTCACACCTATATAATCCCAGCACTTTGGGAGGCTGAGATGAGAGGATTGCCTGAGTCCACGAGTTCGAGACCAGCCTGGGCAATTTGTCGAGACCGCATCTCCACAATAAAATCAAAAAACAAGCTAGACTGCTGGCATGTGCCTGTAGTTCCAGCTACTTGGAAGGCTCAAGCAGAAGTATCACCTGAGCCCAGCAGGTCAAACCTGTAGTGCCGTGAGCATGTCACTGCACTCTAGCCTGGGCAACAGAGTGAGACTCCAACTCAAAAAAAAAAAAAAAAAAAGACTATATGTGGCAATGCAAAGCTGTTGCAGAAATACCTTAGTGACACTGCAGCTTAAGTTAAAAATAGGTGCAATCACATGTCTAAAAACTAATTAAAGGTTAATTTTACTCTGAAATGATGTTTTACTATCTGTATGGAACTTGGAGGTTCGATGAATAACTGACTGCACATGCTTCCATGTGGCCCATCAGGAGTTCTCAGTCATGGCTGCACATCAGAATCACCTGGGAAACCTTGACAGCTACACAGCCTCTGCCCTACCTCCAGCTCTGATTTTTTTGTTTGACTTTGTTTTAATTGATATATAACAGTTGTACACATTGGGGGGGGTGCATGTGACATTGTGATACCTATACACAATATGTAATGATTAATTTGTGGTAATTGGGATATTCCATCACCTGAAACATTTATCTTCCACTCAATTCTGACTTAATTTGTCTTGGGTTGGGCATTAAAAAGCGCCCTAGAGAAATTTTATTGTATCTAGGTTATACTTTAAACCTGACTGTAAAAAAAAAAAAACAACTCCCCAGGTGATTCTGATGTCAGCCACTGTAGAATAAATTGTTACTGAGGTCAAAGCACTTAATTTAAGGCAAAGCTCATCACTTTAGTAATTTTATTATATTGTAGAAACAGGGACTTGCTCTGTTGCCCAGACTAATCACAAGCTCCTGGCCTCAAGCAGTTGGTCCTCCGTGTTAGCCTCCCAAAGTGCTGGAACTACAGGCGTGAGCCACTGCACCCATCCACATTTTGTCCTTAAAGTGACGAGCTTTGTCTTAAATGTTTGTTTACTCACAATGGAGTAAAAGTAAAAGTGATATGGATCAGTGACCTTGATAGGGTATTTTTATCGGAAAACCTAGTCTAGCTTGAGTCAGAAATAGCCTTGGTTTACTGAATCCCCACTCCTTATAAAGCTCTGGGCTAGATGCTCTGTATGTAATATCTCTAGTCCTCACAGCTCTAAAAAGTGGATTAGGGCGAATGTGTGGAATAGGGAACTAAGGCTCTGAACTTCGGTAACATGACTAAGGGCATACAGCAAGCACAGCAGACCTGGGCTTCAAAGAGTAAAGTAACTGTTTGAAGGAACTGCTAGAACCCAAGAGTGCAACACCAAGACCTTGTCGAGACAAAAAAGAATCGAAAAAGTAACCAGGTGTGATGGCGTGCACCTGTCCTCCCAGCCACTTAGGACACAGCAGGATCGTCTGAGCCCAAGAGGTTAAGGCTACAGTGACCTGAGATTGTGCCACTGCATTCCCACTTATGTGGCAGAGTAAGACCCTGACTCCAAAACAAAACAAAATAAGATCTGATCAAGAAGGGGTCAGTGGCTCAGCCTGTAATCCCATGCCTTTGGGATACTGAGGTGAGTGGATTGCCTGAGCCCGCAGGTTCGAGGCCCGCCTGGGCGGTGAGAACTCATCTCTACAATAAATCAAAAAATCAGCCGGGCGTGGTAGTGCGTGCCTATAATTCCGGCTACTCGGAAGGCTGAGGCGGGAGGATCACCGGAGCCCAGCAGGTCGAGGCTGCGGTGGCCGGGAGTGGCCAGTGCCCTCCAGTCTGGGTGACAGAGTGAGACTCCGACTCAAAAAAAAAAAAGAAAAAAAAAAGATCTGATTAGAACCATAGGAAAGGGAAAAAACAAAATAAGATTTGACCTCAAAGCCTCTCCAGTCTCAGTCTTTCCATTCTGCCTCCCCAGGAAAATGGAAAGATAAAATTTATTTATCTGTTTATTTATTTATTTATTTTATTTATTTATTTATTTATTTTTTGAGTTGGAGTCTCACTCTGTCGCCCAGACTGGAGTGCAGTGGCCGCTTCTGGCCACCGCAGCCTCGACCTGCTGGGCTCTGGCAATCCTTCCGCCTCAGCCTTCCGAGTAGCCGGAACTACAGGAGCGCGCTACCACGCCCGGCTAATTTTTTGATTTATTGTAGAGATGAGGTCTCGCCACCCAGGCGGGTCTCAAACCTACGGGCTCAGACAATCCACTCACCTCAGCCTCCCAAAGGCGTGGGATTACAGGCTGAGCCACCGAGCCCAGCTTATTTATTTATTTTTGATTCGGAGTCTCACTCTCTCGCCCAGGCTGGAGTGCGATGGCACACTCACCGCTACCACAGCCTCCACCTGCTGGGCTCAGGGGAGCCTTCTGCCTCAGCCTCCCAAGTAGCTGGAACTACAGGTGCAGGCCACCATGCCCAGTTAATGTTTTGACTTATTGTAAAGACAAGGTCTCACCAAGTTGCCCAGGTTGGTCAGGAACCCCTAGACTCAAGCAATCTTCTCACCTCTGCCTCCCAAAGTTCTGGGATTACAGGCATGAGCCACCACACCCCGCCAGATGAAAATGTTTATATCTTCTTTTAAATTGTCTTCTAATATATGGAATGGGTTATGTGTAGAAAATAAGTGAGAATATGAAATTTGTTTTTTTATAACAACTTACTGCTTGTCCCCCATTATAGGGACTCTGAGATCATGCAGCAAAAGCAGAAGGCAGCTAATGAGAAGAAGTCTATGCAGACAAGAGAAAAATGATGACTGTCTATGCAGAAAACCTGGGTGCTACTGCCAACTGTGTATCATAAGCTCGAAGATCAAGATTTTGTAGCATGAACAGTCATTACATATGTTATAACTTATCCTTGTAAAACTGTCTATTTTAAACTTTACCTTTCAACTTGACTTTACGTGATGTTTTAGAGCCTTTCTTCAAAGAATAAAATACTAACCATACATGTGACTTATTGGTGAATTTTATTGTTGTTAGCAGTGAACATTGATATAATTTATTAGGTAAGTAATGTGATCATTCAAATAAATCTAGAATTTTTTGTCATCAATTCTGTTAAATCTTTTTTTCTCACAGTTTCTAATTATAAAGTTTATCTTCTTCCTGCCTCTTTTTTTTTTTTTTAGTTGGAGTCTTATTCTGTCACCCAGGTTGGAGTTCAATGACACGCTCACAGCCACTGCAGCCTTGACCTGCTGGGCTCAGGTGATCCTTCCGCCTCAGTCTTCCAAGTTACTGGAACTACAGGCATGCACCACCAAGCCCGGCTAATTTTTTTTATTTACTGTAAAGACAAGATCTCTCCAAGTTGCCCAGGCTGGTCTCAAACCCCTAGGCTCAGGCGATCCTCTCACCTCTCACCTCTGCCTCCCAAAGTACTGGGATTTCAGGCATGAGCCACCACACCTGGCCAAGGGGGGGGTGGATTTTTTTTTATTTTTTGAGTTGGAGTCTTACTCTGTCACCCAGACTGGAGTGCAGTGGCATGCTCCCGGCCACCACAGCCTGACCTGCTGGGCTCCAGCAATCCTTCCGCCTCAGCCTTCCAAGCAGCCGGAACTACAGGTGCGTGCTACCACGCCCAGCTAATTTTTTGATTTATTGTAGAGATGCGGTCTGCTAAGTTGCCCAGGTGGGTCTCGAACCTGCGGGCTCAGGCAATCCACTCACCTCAGCCTCCCAAAGCGCTGGGATTACAGGCTGAGCCACCGAGCCTGGCTGGAGGTGGATTTTTAACCTCAATATGACCAAATACTTCATCAAGGCCGGCAGAAAAATTATCTGAGAGGAAGAAAATTAGGTCTAATTGTTGACACCTGTCATGTGGTATATTTAAGCAAGGTGACTAAAAATAACTAAACTTCTAAAGAGGGAAACTGGTCAATTACAGGATACTAAGGGGAAATGCAGGTGAATAATTTTAATCAGTAAAGTTAAGTCATGTACTAACTTTATTTAGTTTGGATATTTCTTTTTTTTTTATTTTTTTTTGAGTTGGAGTCTCACTCTGTCGCCCAGACTGGAGTGCAGTGGCCACTCCTGGCCACCGCAGCCTTGACCTGCTGGGCTCCGGCAATCCTTCCATCTCAGCCTTAAAGCAGCCGGAATTACAGGCATGTGCTACCATGCCCGGCAGATTTTTTGATTTCTTGTAGAGATGAGGTCTCGCTGCCCAGGCGGGTCTCGAACCTGCGGGTTCAGGCAATCCACTCACCTCGGTCTCCCAAAGGCACTGGATTACAGGCTGAGCCACCAAGCCTGGCTAGTTTGGATATTTCTTTGGACTTGTTACCAAAACAGGATAAAATTATTTAGATAAGTTAGCATCAAAGTTAGAATGACCAAACTCCATGAAAAGCCTTGTAGACATTAAAAATACGATCTTGCATCATCTTCAAGAGGAGATAGTGCATTATTATTAGCAACTTTAAGTTCTACCAAAGGCCAAGTGTGGTGGCTTAGCCTGTAATCCCAGCATTTTGGGAGGCCAAGGCGAGAGGATTGCCTGAGCCCAGGGCTTCAAGGCCAGCCTGGGCAACTTGGCGAGACCTCGTCTCTACATTAAGTCACAAAAACTAGCCAGGTGGGGTGGCGTGCATTAGTAGCTCCAGCTACTTGGAAGTCTGAGTGGAAGGATTGCCTGAGCCCAGCAGGTCGAGGTTACGGTAGCCATGAGTGTGCCACTGCATTCCAGTCTGGGCAACAGAGTGAGACTCCAACTCAAAAAAAAAAAAAAAATAGCTATTTCTTCTATTATTTCTTTCAGTGCTCATGCAAACACACAGAAATAAGGGGTATGAGGAGTGTATTTGATTACCTCAAAGTTGGTGGCTTAAAACAACAGCAACGTCTTTTCTCATACTTCTGGAGGCCGGAAGTCTGAAGGCAAGGTGTCAGCAGGGCCACACTCCCTCTGAAAGCCCTGGGGAGAATCTTTGCCTCTTCCAGCAAGGATGGCTCCAGGCATTACTTAGTTTTGACAGCATAACTCCTATTTCTGCCTTTGTCTTTAAGGCCTTCTTTTCTCTGTCTTCCCTTCTCTTATGAGGACATTTGTTATTGGATTTAGGTTCCATTCTAACCCATGATTATTTCATCTGGAGATTTTCCATTGCATTACAAAAACTCTTTCCCCAAATAATATCACATTCACAGATATCAAGTGGACGTACCATTTTGGGGTCCATTATTCAACCCACTACCAGGAGTTTTGTTTTGTTTTGTTTTGAGTAAGGGTCTCACCTCTTCCCCTAGACTGAAGTGCCATGGCATGATCATAGCTTATTGCAGCCTTGAACTTCTGAGCTCAGATGATCCTTCCGTCACAGCCTTCCAAGAATATGGGACTACTGGCCAGAGCCACAGTGGCTGATTGAGTGATTATTTATTCACTCATTTATTTAAATAAGGTCTTTCTCTATTGCCCAGGCTAGTCTTGAAATCCTGGGCTCAAGTGACACTCTCACCTTGGCCTCCCAAAGTGTAGGGATTACAGGCATGAGTCATGGCATCCAGCCTTACCAGGAATTTTTTAGATAAAAATAGAAACTTTGACATAACTTGGCACTTTTTTTCCCTTTCTTTCTTTTTTTCTGTTTAAATCATTTATCTTGTCACAATTTAACTTTTAATGTAACAACGTATATATAACAATGTAACAATTGTATCTATATAAGGGGTGCAACTTAAGCTTTAATCTACATTGTGAAATGATCACCCTATTCCAGGTAAATATCTAATATCTCTACATAATTACCATTTCTGTACCCTTGACCCACTTCACCCCATTCTCCCCTCCCTCCCATATATTTTTTTTTTTTGAGCTGGAGTCTCATTCTGTCGCCCAGACTGGAGTGCAGTGGCTGCTC